CCTCCTCCTCCTCCTCCTCCTCCTCCTCCTCTTCCCTCAGCTTCCACGTCCCCCATCTCACCGTCTCAATGCTGGCAGCAGCGGACGAGATCATCTCCGCGTTATCGTTCACAAACTTCTTGAGCATCTCGATCCTCGTCTTCATGTCAACATGCTTCGCTTGCACCCGCTCCGCCATCCCGACCGTCATGATCTGCGCCTCCATCATCAGCAGGCCGGCGCTCCTCCTCCTCCTCCTCCTCCTCCTCCTCCTCCACTCGCGTCTCTTCTCGCTCTATCCTCCCCCGCCTCCTCCCTCCCCTGTGTGCTTCTTTTGTCTCTCTCACCTGGGCTCCGATGTCTGGCCCAGCAAGATTTCCCGTCAACGCCAGGCGAACAGGCATGAACAATTTCTTTCCCTGCCAGAAAAATCAGCCCCTCCTCCTCCTTCCTCCTCGTCGGTCTGCCATTTATTTTCCTGTTACCTTTCGTCCTGTGCTCTTGCCCAACTTGTTCACCCATTGCTGTAGGAAACTCGTCAGACCCACGAGGAGAGGAGAGTCGAAAGAAAGAAGGAGGAGGAGGAAATGACGCTGACAATGACAAAGGATCTCAGGGAAGGGAAGCAAGAGGAATGAGAATGGTTGTAGCAGAAGTTGGAGGATACAAGAGAAAACAACAACACAAGTGGTAGTGGGAGGCGTAAGAGAGGAAGGACAAGGAGTTGTAGTTGTAGATGGAGGAGGAGGAGGAGCTACCTTGAAATCGTCACTGAAAGTGGGGGAAGGATTCGTTGGGATCGCGTTGCTGTTGAACTCCTCGATGATTTTGTCCGCGAGCGCCTTGAAATCGTCCCCGAGAATCTCCTTCGCCTCCTGCTCATTCGTCAGAACCTTGTGCAAGAACTGGAGGAAGGAAGGGAAGCAGGAGGAGGAAGAAAGGAAGAAGAGGAGGAGGAGGAAAGAAGAGGAGGATGAGCAGAGAGGTTGGGCGCTCTTGCCTCTGTCTTGGAGGTTTCCTCAAGTTGAAAGTCCAGCACGGTCTGCAGGATGCTGCTGGCGTCGTTGACGAGATCGCATTTCTCTTGGACCATCCCTGAACCGCCAATGAGACAAGAAAATAGAAAGGGAGAAGAGAGGAGAGGGGAGGAGAGGGGAGGAGAGGGGAGGAGATGGGAGGAGAGGAGAGGAGAGGAGATGAACTTGAGTTCCTCAGGAGTAATACCAGCGACATGGTCAAGGAATTCTTCGTCAGCATGGCCGATCACTTTCTCTCTCATCATCGCCTCTGCCATCAAAGGAAGGAACTCCTCTTTCTTCATCGCTCGCAGATGTTGACCGTTGATCCTGTCCCCCTCCATCATCACAAGAGGACCCTCCCGACCTCCTCCCTCCTCCTGCTCCCTCCCCCCTCTGGTCCTCCCCCTCCTTCTCATTACAGATTACTCCCCCACACTTGCTCGTCCTCCTCCTCTCCCTTTCTCCTTCGTTCTTGTCCTCCTCCTCCTCCTCCTCCTCCTCCTCCTCCTCCTCCTCCTTACCACTTGAGCTTCTGCATGTCGAACATGGCGGGGGAGGGAGTCACTCGGTTGAGGTCGAAGGAGGCGATCAGCTCCTCCCTGCTGTAGATGTCCTTGTCTGTCCCGTCGTTCCATCCCAGCAGCGCCAGGTAGTTGATCATGGCATCGGGAAGAAAGCCCTGTCACATCCTATCAGCCTCATCGTCCTCGTTCTCATCCACTTTCTCCTCCACCTTCCCCACCTCGTCTACTTCACCCTCCTGATCCATACACCCCACCTCCTCATCCTCCCTTCGCTGACCTGCTCGCGAAACTGGTTGCAAGAGGTGGCGCCATGGCGCTTGGAGAGCTTTGACCTATCCTCTCCGAGGATGAGCGAGCAGTGAGCGTACTCGGGAATGTTGAAGCCAAGAGCTTCGAGTACAAGGACCTGCAGACACGAAGAGAAGTGAGGAGAGGAGGAGGCAGCGCTCGAAGCACAGAGCTCTCTTGGACCTTCCTCAGACCGCCTCTACTATTCCCTTCTCCTTGCCGCTCCTAAATCTCCTTACCTCTGCTCTGCTCGTCCCCCCCCCCCCCCCCGCCCCCCCACCTCTCGCGTCCTGTGTCTCGCCTACCTGTCGGATGGTGTTGGTGAGATGTTCCTCAGCTCGCGCTACTGTCGTGATGCCCATCAGCGCGTCGTCGACAGCCACGCAGAAGTTGTAGACAGGAACTCCTGCAGACAGAAGATCAGGACGGCGACGAGGAGGAACGGCAACCAGACAAGGAAGCGAGGCGGAGAGGAAAAGCGAGGGGACGAGAGAGCCGAAGAGGGGGTGAGGGAGGACAGGGGAAAAGAGGGGGAACAAAGGGAAGCTGGAACCAAGGATAAGCAGCCAAGAGAAAGGGGAGATATAGGAGAGAACGATAGGAGGGAGAAGAGGGAGGGAGGATATGCAAAGAGGACAGGGAGGTTGGGGCAGTAGGAGAGGCATCAGTAACGGAAGGAGAGAGAAGAGCAGGCTGAGGAGACTACAACAAAGAGTTTGCAAGGTCTCAACCGTTGGAGCGAAGGAGGATAAAATCTCCTAGAGTTGCCTCAACGTCCCATGAAATTCTTCCACGGACAATGTCCTGCAAGGCAGAGCATGAGGGGGGATGGAAGAAGAATTGTCGTTGCCTCAACAAACAAAGGCATCATCATCATCATCATCATCATCTCCATCTCCACAATCATCATCATCATCATCATCATCATCATCATTTCCATAATCGTGATTTCCATCTCCATCTCCAAGATCGCCGCCATACATGAGAACAAGAACATCACTCACATGAATGGTGACAACTTTCCCCTTCGGAACTTTGAATCTGATCGTGTAAGGATCTCCGGCATCGAGTCTTCTCTTCACCTCCGCAGGGTCTGCATCTCTCCAAGTGCCATCATACGCCACCTGCACCTCCATCACTCCGCAGCCCCTGGACCCTGCGCTCCTCCCTTACCTTGCTCCCGTCCTGCTCAGCTGCTTTCCTCTTCTCTTCCAGCTCCTCCTCAGTGCAGAAGCATGGGTAAGCGAACCCCATGTCCCACAGCTTCTTTGCCATCTTCACGTAAATGTCGTTGCGCTCCGACTGTCTGTAAAGGTTGGCAGGCCCCCCGACGTAGGGACCCTCGTCCCAGTCCAGGCCGAGCCACTTGAGGTCCGCGATCATGCTGTTCTCGCTCTCCTTGGTGCTTCTTGCAAGGTCCGTATCCTCGATGCGCAGCACGAACTTTCCTCCGAGCTTCTTTGCCATCAGGTAGTTGTACAGAGCAGTCCTCGCCCCTCCGACGTGCAACGATCCAGTTGGGGATGGCGCGAATCGCAGCCTGGGTACATCACGATGCACTCGGTCGATGCCAAGTTCCTTGAGCACATCAACAGCAGACGCAGACATCTGCAGGCTCTGCAGCCTTCCTCCCTTCCTCTCACGCCCCAACCCGAGTCTCATGGGACCGCCGGGCGCAAGCTTCTGAACCGCAGACTTGGAGCCGAGGAGGGAGAGGCCTCCCGTGGGAGCCCTGAAGGCCAGAGAGGATGAGGACATCATGAGGACGGGGAGCAGGAGCAGAGGGGGGGAGCAGAGGAGAAAGTTTCCTGCCGCCCCCGCCTTCTTTCGCATCGCTAGCATGGCGGCCGCCGTCACAAGAGCTCCCTAAAACCTTTTTATAGTTAAAATACTTGTTTTAAAATTGGAGTCCGAGGCGGGCAAGGCGTGCGAGATTTTGTAAATCCAGGACGCGCTCCGCTGTACAGCTCCCGAGTTCCTCGAGGCTGATCGGTACACTGTGGAATCACTGCGCATTGGACTCAGATATCAGAGCTGACTCAACTTTTAACATCAGTTTGACTCAGGTTGGACCGTGACGCCGGCACTGCGGCGAGTGAACTAGTAACCTGCACTGAATTCAAATTTGATTCTCATCTGAAAATTTATTTGAAAGAGAGAATCTGGGCATTCACTCCCACGATTACGATAGCTTCTTTTGTCTCACGACAGCAACCCTGTGTTCCTGTTTGTGGAACATTAAGTTTACACGCCTGGTGATGACTTGAATAAGATTCAAAACCCTCCGTTGAAACCACACCTTTCAGATTGATCTCTCCCTTCCATTTCTTTTGAATTGAACAATTGAAAATTATCATTGCCGTCCATAGCAATCTGCTTTGCTTTCTCGCCCTATGCTTTCATTCACTCTCCAGAAGTTCAAGACAACAAAATAACCTTGATAGTATTCGAAGATGATCTTCTAAAGTTCCAACAGCGCTCTCTCTCTCTCGCTGGCAATCATCCCTGATAAAATGAAAGCAAGCAGGCAGGAATTTGGAGCATTGGTGAGCTGCTGGTGCCGTCACCAGCCCCCAGCCTGCTATGTCAGCGCCTCCGACTCTTCATCTCTACCAGGATGACGCTTACCAGCTCGCAGCTTGTGATTGGGCAGCCAACTACTTGCTGTGCACCAATCTGCAGCAGCAGCTGCTGCTGCGGCAAGAGCCGTGCAGGGAAACTGCTCCATCAGTCAACATGTTCACCTCGTTCATCTCTGGTGAGGTGTCAAGATCGATCCATCTTGCAGGACAACTTTCTGCACCATTGTCATGAAGTCGACAAGTGAGCGACGTGTTTATCACCGTCAAGTGTCATCAATCAGCTGAAAGATGCCGCTTTCATCAGAATTCCAACTTCCTTCGCACGTCGCACCCTTGTTCCTCGCTGGGGTTTAAAAAACACGATCAGTAACGAGGGCCCAAGGATACAAGACTCTGTGCGATACCTCTCATATATCCTCCTGACAGAGTTGGACTTCTTCTTAGGTGCTGGCGGGGCTTGCAAGCAATCATTGAACTGTGGTTCAGGTGAAAGGTATTCATTTGACTGATCGTGGGCAAGAACTGGCGAGGAGGTCATACTGATTGTCAGTGCAAAGTTCGAAGCCTGAAACGCAGGGGAATACTGGTTTCTCACAGGGATTCCACTACCTCTTCTTAAATCTAACACCCGAGCAGACGAAGCGGCACAATCTTGCGACACCATCGTCAGACAGAACAACACAGCTATCCAGGTAAATCTGGAGCAGAGGCAGTACATGGCTTTAGAGTATGGCTGATCCAGAGATGGCGAGTAGTAAGAGAGATTCAACAGTCTGGTTGCACGGAGCAACTCAACAGATCGACTTGGTACGTGTCAGGGACCGAGGAGCGGAGGGGGAGGACTTTGTTGGGATCGACTTCATACACTGCTGACCGGGAGGGGGAGCACTACCCCTACCCCCACCCTGAACACACCAAAACAGGGTACAGAGTCTTCCCAACGGCACTTTCCAAGAGTTAGGGAGATGACTAAAAAAATCAAGTTCAGGTCGGCGACTCTGGGCGCGGCCCCCGGCCCGGCCCGGCCCGACCGGCCCGGCCGGCGGCCGGGCCTCACTGAAGAAGAGTGTCAAGCCTCCTCGACTCTCCTGATTGTCCTCCTACTGATTTTTAACTTAACTTTGAGTAAAAAATGGCTATGATAAAATGTCCCTGGCAATGGCACATGGATGACCCCTGACCCCTCAAATGTCACCAAAATGTTTACTTCATGACGGTACCCCCCTCCACCCCCCACCCCCCCATGTCCCTTTTAAGTTAAGTGAACCCTCTCTTTCCCCTGTTTGTCGCAGTGTCACCACCCCCCTCTGCATGGCCAACCCCCTCAGTGGAATCGACTAGAGCTGTCATAATCGGCCTGACACACAAAGGCGTGCGCAACATGCATACCGCCACGCATGTGCTCAGAGCTCTCCTCCTCGGGCTCTGCCTCACCATGGCCCAGGCCAAGCTCTCCTCTCCTGCTGCAGCTGTAGTGTCTAAAGATATGCACCACCAGCCAGGAAGGATGAATGCCCATGACCTCAGTGTGTTCGTGAAGCAAACCTTGCAAGCACAACTGAAGGGCGTGAAGAAGGTTGTGAGAGGTAGAATGACAGCAAGCCACTCCTCTCACATCCAGCACCATGCAGCCTCCCTCAGGAGCACGGGAGAGTCTGATTCCATGTCCAACATGACTGATTGTGAGAAGGCAATTACCATCGCACTCAGTACCGAACTTGCTCATTGTATCAGTTTTCTCGATGACAACAGTACGGTAGTGCCCAATGCAACCGTCTTGGATGGAGTCTGCGCCCCTCCCAATGGTTGCTTGTCACTCCTCCACAACTTCTCGCTCCCCAACTCGATGAACGCGTCGTGTCCGGCAAACATGACTTCGGAATCGATTATGCAGACGCCCATTGCCATGGCAATTCAACAAGCGATGTCCCTCCTATGTCTCAAGTCCAATGGCGTATACTGCACACTTCAGATGTACGAGCTGATGAGCGCATCCCAAACAGGGCAAATGGTAAGTGACCGGCATCAAGGAGCTCTGCGCTGCTTCTTGTGACGTCCCTCTATCAGGACTTCAACCTTCCGCTACTTTGCTCCTCGTCTTGTTTCAACAGCATGATCACCATGATGATGTCAACCCCAGGTCTCGGGCAGTCTTCCGATGACAGTTCACCGCAATTATTGCAGTTGGCGTTCAGCACCATGTGTATGCAAGACTCAAAGGGCGACTACTGTCTCTCCAAGATGATGTCAGATGATATCAATACAGCGTTCCTATGCACGGAGTGTGGAGCGAAGGTATCAATTTGAGTCCTAGCCATGTTCCGCTCAAAACTTTTCTGTCACCAGATCCTCTCCTCCCCGTTCATCCAAGAATCTTTCTCAAGCGTAATCAGCGATCCCACGGAGTTGGCTAAGTTCAACAGCATGATGAAAGCATTGTGCATGAAAGGTAATCGCTGCAGACTGGCGGTGAAACCCACCTCGGCTGATTAGTACTATGATTTGCAGATGGGACTCAGTTCTGCCTCGAAAAGCAGGATGCTTTGAATCAAATTATGGATTCGGGACCGGTATGCATTTCCAGCTCAAATTCTGGTACATGCCCCTCCGACAACACATGCAGGGTATGCGACTGCATTTCTGATCACTCTTGTAACATTCTCTCGTGTCAGCAAGCGATATCCCAAGCCAAGACCATGGGCTGCTGCGTGGGATCGCTCCTGCAAACGGAGCCAGCGATCGAAGGCCCCGTGCTGGCCATCGCTAAGGCTTGCGGATTGACTGTCCCTTCACCATGTGTGTAACCTCAAGATATCGGTCGGTCATACGTAGTGAGCATGAGTGACTTGCTGTCGACCAGGTCAAGCAGGTCCGCGGTTTACCTTTACAGTGGACGTGAGCAATCTCAAGAACTCCTGGTACGCTGCAAACACTCAGCTGGTCGATACCTACGTGAGGCCCTTAAAAGCCGGCATCTTGTGTCGACATTGACGCACTCCCGATGCAGCTCATACAAGACCTAGCAAGCGGGCTGAGCGTCTACACCAACATGGTGCTACATCCCGATGAGCTGGGTCATGTCCCGATGACAAAGGGTGCAGGTTCAAAAGAAGTCGTCGAGCAGCACTTCGAATGGAGGAACTCAGTTTGGAATGCAGATCGACACGATCTCCAAGGATCAGGTACAGATTGTTGCGATTCGGCGGGGAAGATGATAGGGTCTGGCAGGGCACTCTCGTGTACGACAAGCTGAAGGCTATGCAAATGAGAAGGGCCCAAGGGCTGCAGCTAACTCAATTAGCAAGCAAGCTTCCGGACACTGCGAAAGTTGACCCCTCGCTACCCTTGTCGTTGACAGTGAGGGCAGGCAGCATTGAGCAGACAGAGGTTGGAGGAGTGCCAGCGGTCCCGCAAACAACTCCTCTTACAGGCGGGAGCAGCTGCCTCACCCCTTCAATCATCCTCCACCTGCTCGGAGCCTTCATGGCATTCACTTGGGGGTTGAGGCGCGCTTAAGAGGACTCGCAGTACATCTTACACCAGTCGTCGCCAAGTTCTCGCTCTCAAGTTGGCGGGCCACTGGCTGCAGCATCACGACACACTACTGGCTGCCACGTCACGAGTCACGGCAGTCCTCGTTGTAACTTTTAACTTAAGTTTGAGCAAAGCGATTTTCCGCTTCTCTGTGACATCACGCCTGATGTGAGGGTGGAGTGGGTCTCCAGCACACAAAATCATTTGAAGCGACAAGCAAAGTTTCTTCAGAGGTGGGGTTCACCCTCTCCTTGCTGCCTGCCGCGTCAAGTCCGTCTGCCGCGCATGACGGTTCAGCACTGACTGAGCGTGTTTCACTGCTGACACCAGCGGCCAACCCGAGTTGCTAAAAGCGATGCTTGCTTCAGTCGGGGAGGCCATGAGGAAGCCTGAGCATAGCAAGGATGAAAGGGGGGATCAAGGAGGAGGACGTTGTTCTCTGTTTCATAACTTCACTCAAGGGCTGCTTATGATGTTGGCGGCAGGGAATGATGGGCAAAGACGCCGGTGGCGTCTAGAGCTGCTTTCCTTTATTGTAGGAGGGAACACGTAGCGTCTCTTCATCCCCCTGACTGGCCCGGTACACCCTATAAAACACATAAAACACAGATGTGAACACGGAGTACTGTTACCACCATATGATTCGTGCAGGCACATTGAATGATTGGAGCAACCATCTCGTCTTCATAGTGTGGAGAATCTGTGGTCACTGATTGGCCATCTGAACAAGAAGGATTTCTTGTGAAAATTCAATCAGGCTTGCTGTACAGTGTTATGTAAAACAGTTGACCCTGACCTGCCCTTTGTGCACGAGCATTCGAAAAAACGAATTGTCCTTAGCCAACTGCATGAACGGGACACTTTCAACGTACGGAATGGATCAGATAATGACGGGGAAGCTGAAAACTGTACACATAAGAACAAGAAAAGACGAATATATTCTAAATCAGCACAATGCGATGGAGGGCTCAGAGGTAACATGCCCGGGTTTCGGGGATTGCGTGACATTGCTGGTTGCAAGTCGAGAAAAAGGAATTCATTGATATCATGAGAGAGAAATCACAGCTTACTGGCGCGGCGGCGGTGTGTACTAGGGGCCCGGGCGCTCTGGTGCCGTGCCCCGACCGCCCGGGCCCTGTTCGACGGTCAAGTTATATGATCGGACTGCCTACCAGTGTTGAAGTTGTCTTCAGTGTTGTTGACTTGTGCCACTGCTCTCGTGTCGTTGCTATCAGCAGTAAATGCAGCAGTACAAAAATCACGCAGTTGTGTATATCTGTTTGTTGCAGTCCAGTCGACAGAGACATTCTATACCGTCCGTTTCTTGCTCAGCGGCTTCTGCTGGCACGGTCGTCAGTCTGCCCGGGGCCCTTACTAGCCTTGGCACGGTCTCGTGATATCAATGAGTGCTGCACCGAATATTCTTTCTCGATACCAAAGAGACCGTGGCTTTCATGTGTGAGCATGGTCACTGAACTTCCAATGCTGCCAGGCTTGCATCCACTACTGTCACGGTTTGCTGGTACTCTCAGAACGTTTATTAACGACAACAAAAATCCAAATCTTTGACATGTTGACAGCTATCGTGCACTGCACCATCAATTTTTATCGGTTGGCGTATGGCAACGACACATCTCTTCTAACAGTGACACGTCGCGCAGAAAAAGGCCAAAAAATATCCTAGAAATAGTTGTTTTTTCAACACTTTGCAACCACAGTGAACCCCGTCGTTTGTAAGTCGAAATTACTTAAAGTTTTTGTGTGTTCTTTCGATGACTAAGATTTTCCTTTCTTGTGCTGCAGAATAAACATGTAGACCAACCAGATGGCTAGGAATGTGAATAGATAAGCGTTTTCACCTGTTTGTCGTCTTTTTGTCATGCATGATGAGCAGACCATACGCGCTGTTCGACTGGGAGGGTGAAAGTAAGCTCTCCTGTCTGCTGAACCCCATTCATCTCAGTGTCATCACTCGGTTTAGGGAGACGGATGACAGGGCGTCCCAGTGGAAGGATGTGTCGTCGTGCAGTTCCATTCACAAGACTTGCAGTTGCGATGTACCATGCAGTTGATGCACATACGATTCCACAGTAGCCTCCAGCTTTGGCAAGACTGGTATTGTTTGTGAAATTCGCGGCGATGTCGAGTATCAACGTCACTTCCAGAAGAGCGAAGAGTAGAAACAGGGCGGCGTTTGTAAACATGCTTGCCACGAGAGCGTAAGAGTTGAAGATGAGGAAAGCGACAAGGAAGTATGCAAGTTGAGTAGAGAAGAGCGGAGTGGCTCCATACACGTTGACCATGACGAACAGACTCATCCAGAAAGCACCATAGGATGAGAAAGCGGTTGCACCAAACACGTTCCCGTTTGCGAATTCCCACATTCCGGCTAGAAGCTGGGCAAAGCCGCCGTAGAAAGCAGCTGCACCAAGAAATGTTTGGAAGGGAATCCAACCGGCATTGAAGCCACTCAGGAGAAACGTCGTGACGGCAAAGCCGGAGAGCCCGAGCGGAGCTGGATCAGCAGGTTTCCAATGCTGCGCTGCCATTGTTTGAATGTGTTGGTTGGTCAGTTGGATAATGAGATGTAGTACTAAAGTCCCAAGGGTTTATCAGTGAGGGTGGGGGTAGGTACTCCGCTCCATGGCTATCTGGGGGGAAACCAGGGGTACTACTCGTTCAATTTCAGGAAATTGAACCATGTGACCTGAAGATAAGTTATGGACTTACGCCTCTTTATATACCCCTAGCGGACCCTGATTTTGTCTCTAGAAGTACCCCGTACTGCATACAACAATAACGACTTTTATAATAATTGGAGATCTTTTATATTGGTTTTCGCTGCCTCCTCCGTTTTCTAGTATCTTGTTGAGGCGGGTTTGTTGGATTCCGGTTTGCCTGATGTGTAGTCGGGCGGAAAAGGAAGCCCGAATGGATAGCACCCATCGCGAGGGGTGAGGGGAGGAGAGGAGGGGAAGGGAGGGGGAGAGGACGGGAGAGGAGAGGAAGTGCGGAATCAGATGAAAAGGAATGAGAGAATCGTAGGTCACCTAGCATAGAATAGCTGGTTTAACATATGGAATACGTTGAGGATTTAAAAATATGGTCATTGGTGTCTCCTTAACCTCTTAGTTGCTTTTATGTCCCCCGCACACGTGCTTCACAGACACAGCAAAATAGTCAGATGCTCACATAGACTTACCTGCTTCAGCTCTTTCATTCTTGCAAATAGAAACGATTTGATCAACCGGTTAAGAAAGTTGTTCGTCCAACTTGTGTAGAGGGTTACCAGAATCCTTCTTCCAACGAAGGCAAGGTGCTTGCTCCTCAGTTGATACGTGTACAATTAGACCAGTGCTAAGAAAACGGTGGGGCAGATACCAACAACACCAACGAGGGGAAGAAAGGTCACCAAGAGTAATCTTGAGGTTTGTAGAATATGGTGCCTGGTGTCAAACCAGGAGCATTTTGAGGCAGAGTTCGATGAGCTGCCAGCAAGATAGATATCCTTTCTTGAAGATATATTTCTTGTCACGTACTTGACGAGAGCGTTCTGCGACTTACAGCTGATCTTAGGATCACTGTTTATTAAGCACACACACTCATCAGATCAGCACCATGCTCTCTGGCAGCTATCTTGCATCGTGGACACCAAAGCACACACGAGCTTCACTGGGGGACGAACACATTGTGTACATCGACGGTCAGCAACGTTCGTTCAACGAGTCCCTTGGAAGTTTCACAGAAAGCTTGAAAGATCGAGTTCTCGCGTTCACATCCAAAAGCCAAGAGGATGAGTGGCTGCTGATTCCCTTTTCCATCACATCACGATTGAGAGACTTGGAGGCAGCATGGATGAATAATGACAAAGATTGAAGCCGCCTTCATCATCTTAAGAGCACCATCTTCATCCCTACCCTAGTCCTTCTCTTAGCCCATACAGGGATCAGCCTTTTTTCTCTACATGGGTCTGTTCTCTCCTCATGTTGTATTCCACTTTCATCAAGCAACGCTAGCAGACTTCATTCACAGCACTGCACCACCCTGGGTCTACCACGTCCAAAGCAGAGGAGTCAGTAGGGGCGTCAGAGCTGCTAGTGGTGCACGGGGCTTGGGGACACGGTGCAGAATAGGCGGAGAAGTTAGATTGGAAGGAGTCCATCGTATGCAGGAATTACGGGGGGAACATGTCGTGTCGTCAGAGGAGTTTCCTAGAAGGGGCGATGCTTGCTTCAGTCTGGTGGAAGGACGGATCAAGGAGGAGGACATCGTGCTGTGTGTCGTATCGATAGACGATACGCAGGCTAGAAGCTGGAGGACATCGATATATAACACAACACGAGCATACATGATTTTGGCTGGGGAAAGTGGCCGAGTCGCTTTACTAGGCTACAAGGAAAGACGTCAGTAACCTTTACCCCCAGCGGGGATTCCCGACTGTGTACTCCGCTCCGAAACATTCTACCTTAGAGGAACCGAGACCACCCCTGGTAACAAGCTGATTGCACCCCATCCTCCATGGTCATTGCGGGGTTTTCCGTCTAAAAAGAAGGCGAGGAGTTCCAGGGCTTGTAAAATGGAACTGAGCAGGCCATCGGGTCACAGAATACCGAAAAAAAAAAAGCGAGCACTACCCCTTCCAACACCGCACCTCACCCCACCCCCGACTATAACTATTGTAAGCCGTCGGGCTATTCCGCTTTAAAATATATTAAAAAGCACGGGGATCCCCGACAGCGAACTTTAAAAAGAAACCAACCAGGAGACGACTCTAGTTCAGCGTGCCATGGTTCGCCCTGCAGCCTCCTGGGAGAACAAGCGCATCGCCCTCGCCTTCGCTCACATGGTGCTCCCCTCCTCCCTCCCTTACATCCCTAGACTAACCTCCTTCCTCTCCAGGTCACCTCCCCCGCTCCCTTCTCCGGCCCTGCCCGCCAGTCCGTCTGCCGCACAGGACGGTTCAGCGTGTACGACGCGCTGAGCGCCTGCTGCCCGATGTCGGTGATCAACAACGACCCATACGACGGCAAATACGGGCTGCGGGCGATCGAGTTCTACAAGGTAGTAGAGAGCAACGGCTTCGTCAAGGTCCGGCACCAGCGGCCGAGGGGCAAGAGCGAGCTGTCCTCGTCGTCGGGGTCGTGGGAGGCTTGCACAGAGGAGGTCCGGTACGTGTACGCGGGGAGGCGCTGGAGAGACCCCAGCAGCGAGGAGGACATGCAGAGCCTGAGGGGGGCGTGGGAGGAGCTGGCGGGGAGCTCGACCATCTTCGCGACGCAGTGTCCATGGGAGCGGGTGGTGAGGGTGTGCGAGGAGTACAGGAGGGGATGGGCGGAGTACCAGGCGGGGCTGTTGCGGCCGCTGCCGGGCTTGACGAGGAGGCCGGGAGAGGAGGCGAAAGGAGGAGGGAAGCGACGGCGACTGGACGAGGCCGGGCGGAGCTCGCCGGGTTCTAGCACGCCTGAGGAGGCGGCGGGGTCAAGATGGGAAGCGGGAGAAGAAGACTTGGAGGAGGACGGGTGGCACGGGGATGTACTGGATTCAAGTCCGGACCCTCAGATGGACGGGGGGGAAGTGCCGCAGTGGAAGGAGCCAGCAAATGCGGGAGACTTTGCCTGGTCATCGGCTACTACGGGGGACATGAGCTTGCCGTCATCGGAGGAGTTTCTACAAGGAGCAATTCTTACTTCAGTCTGGGAGACCGAGGGTACCTTGGGCGTGGGGGATGATGAGCACAGCAAGGTGGAGCTTCATGGGAGGTGGGCGCGGCGGGGGGACAGGGACTGCGAGGGGGGCGAGTCAGAGTCGAGAGAGCTTCAGGACAGCCTTGAAAGGTGGATGGAGGGAGGAATCAAGGTGGAGGACATCGTGTCATGTTTCCTATCGATGGATGAGATCATGTAGCCGAAAGTACTCTCTTTTTAGTGCGCCGCATCACCAACGACGCTCCTCCTCCTACCTTACCTCTCCTTGCGTGCGCAGCAAGCGTGGTGTTTGTGCGCAGTTTACCTCAAGCGAACTTAAAGACTTCTGTCCATTGAATCATTGGGGTCTTTTTTCGTCGCGTCACGTTAAAAGCTCTGTTGAATTAATTTATGCTGTTGCAATACATAGTCAAAGCGCACTGAGGGTTCGTGTGTAAAATGCCTCAAATCTTCTGCATTGTAGCCTTGTTCGAGATTTTTCCAGGACTCGGTAGGAGAAGGCTGGTTTTGAAGCGCGCTCCTTCTCCTACCAGGCAACACCTTAAATCCCAGCTAGTCCTCTATGCGAACAATGGTGGGCGGCCGCTTCGCAATGGCAGGGCTGTTGGTGATGGCAGGGGCACTACGATGCTGCTGTTTCCAGGTGCTGGTGCAAGGTGGGGGGACGCTTGTCGTTCAAAAACCGGCGGGTCTGGCAGCTGAGAAGAGGATAAGCTCCCCTTCAGACTCGATGATTGAGATCGTGCGCAGGTCCCACGAGGCCCCGCAGGCTCAGCTGCCTCATAGGTTGGACAAGATGACAGGAGGCGTTCTTGTCGTAGCCCTTACACAGCAAGCCTTGTCCTGGCACAACAAGTGCATCGAGCAGAAGGTCTGGGGGCCGAAGATATACGCAGCGCGCCTCGCAGGGGCTCGGGTGGCAGAGGGGGAGCACAAGGCTTACTTGAAGCGTGTCGGTCAGAGAGCAGTCTGTGTTCGTTCAGGGGGGAAGCCTTCGTTCTTGGACGTCTTGTATCAGGAGCCAACCCCAGGACGTGAAGGGTTGTCCACAGATGTCATCATCAGCCTTCGAACCGGCCGGTACCACCAGATCCGAGCGATGATGGCAGACGCGGGCAACCCTGTCTTAGGTTCCCTGCCCTCGTGCTAACCTGACGAGCCTGATCTTTGACGAGCAGGGGATGTGCTCTACGGGGACAAGACAAGGGTGACGCCTCTCCTCACCCACGCGCTGTTGGGTCTACCCGTGCCGGACGATCAGGTTGGCTCGTTCCCCAAGGAACTGATGTTCGAAGGATCGGATCATACCAAGAAGCTTCTGATTCCGGCAGCTGAACTGTCTCCGCCTGATGTACAAGTGTTCAGCTCGGGCTTTATCTCCTTCCTCTCTGAATATGCCGCGAACATTCGCCGGCAAGCGCAATGCTGAGGACCTTTGGCTTTTTATTTACATCCCATCCCGGTTCTTCTGCGAGGTATTACAAGTCTCGAGGGAACGCGCAGGCGGGTCCCTGGTAATCATACTGCGAGGTAGCAAGTCAGGGAGCAGGACAGTCAGGAGAGAGGCATACGGTAAGAGAGAGTGTAGCTCCTCCTGGTTGCTCTGGATCTGAAGCGCTAAGGATGAGGATGGAGGAGTAGCGAGGTGAAACAGGGACCTTTCTGCAGCAGCCGCAGCTGGATGTCCAGCGTTCCAGCCCTCTTGCTGACCTTCCGGAGGTCCAAGGAAGCAGAACCAACCTACCATGCCGTGAGGGAAGAGCGAGAAAGCAGCACAGCTACCTTGTTGTATCCTGTGTTAGTGAGGATGTGCTGGAAGGATGGAAAGGGAATCAAGAGAGGGAGAGGGAGAAGGGAATGAGGAGTCAGCTTGACTTCTCACAAAGGGGAATGGGGCCAACCATTTCAATGCTGAGCTCTTTCATACTGGTGTTGACGGCAAACGGGAGATCTTCATGCCACTCGAGGGAGTTCGAATTCTGCACAGGCCATTCAGAGGAGCAACAGTGAGCAGGAGGATGAGACACCAAGCATGGCATCGTCTTGCGGGTCTGGAGGACACATGATTCAGCTATTTCACAGCACGGAAAGGGGAAAGAGGACAAAAGAGGAAGGGAAGGGAAGAGGAGGAGGAGCAGAAGAAAATTGTACCTGTCCTTGTACTCTGGCGATTACAAAGACGTTTCTGGTTGGGATCGAGATGTTTTGCACGACCATCTGCCAAGAAAGGAATAAAACAAACAAACGTCCCTCTATGATGTTGTTTACGTTCTTGATGACGAATAGCCCCATAGCGACATCGAGTTCCGCCACCATCCCTGCCATCGTCTCCTGCCCCACCCGCTCAGCTCCTCACCCCCTTTGCTGCCCAGCAGACCTCCAGCTCCTCCAGGTGAGCCTTCAGCTCGAGAATCTCCTGATTATCCTCCTGCTTACAAGGGATCATTCAGCCCTCACGCTAGCGCAAGAGCATGAGAGACCTTCCTATCCAACTTCTCCTGCTTCTTCCCGAGCTCAGACTGCAGTAGAGGCGATCAGACGTCAGTCCCCCCCCCCCCCCCCTCCCCCTTTTCCCTCCCCTCCCCCCATCTTCCTTCAGCCTGCACCCTCCCCCCCCCCGCTCCTCTTCCCCGCCCTGCTCTCCTCATCAACCTGAATCTGCTTGAGAAGCAAGTTCTCGTCCTCAAGGATGCTGACTTGAACCTTGAGGTCTTGGATCTGCATGGAAGATCAGGTAATGCCGGGAGAGGTCGAGCCTTTCCTCTCGCCCATTGACCTCCTGCAGGTCCTTGAGGGATTCGACTTCTCGCTTGTTCCTGCAGGCATCTAATCAGATGATGGGAAGGACAGGGGGAGCGGAAGAGAGGTGAATGATGATGATGATGATGATGATGATGATGATGAAGCAGGAGGAGAAGGAGGAGGAGGAGGAGGAGGAGGAGGAGGAGGAAATGGCAGTTATAGAGGATGAAGGAGGTCAATCGTGCAGACCAGACAGACTGCCGAGCCTGTTTGACGATCTCCGACAACCCGCCCATGTGATCATGATTGTACTCTTCCTGCATGAAGGACCATCGGTCAGCGTCACAGGTCAGTGACCAATCTTGCTCGCTGCACGAGCATCACCATCTCGAATTCCTCGTAGGCAGCCATCAGCTGCTGCTCCAGCTCTGCCTCAGCAGTCATCCGTCCTCCCCTTCCCCTCCCGCCATGCGGTCCGATCATCACCCCTCAGCTTGTCAATCTGCCTGTCCACCTTCTGGTCGTCGTTGTGCGCGTTCTGCAGGGGGTCAGGGACCGGAGCAGGATGATGCTGAGCTGCCTGTGCGAGCTCGTGAGCTAGACGGAGCTCTTCCTCGAGGACCCGGACTTCAAACTTGTAGTGTTTCTAGGAGGATAGTTAACAACATACCATCTCCTCCTCCTCCTCCTCCTCCTCCTCCATCTGACCAGCTGGTCTTCCAGCTCTTCCTTGGCTTGCATGTCTCTCTGTATGTTGTTCATCTGCCTTGCATGTCAGGCCTCCTCCTCCTCCTTCTCCCCCCCCGCCCCCGCCCCCTCCTCCTCCATCACGTCAGTCACGAGCTTCTCATTCTCCTGGATGCTCAGGCTGCCAGCCAAGGTCAGTCCCAGCAGGAAGCGGACAACGAGTCACTCACTTCCATCTCTGCATCGTCTTCTGCAGCTCCTCCTCCCGCTCCGCCAGCTTCACCTCCACCACCGCCAGCTGACATCCACCATCACCGCAGCCTCTATGCCTCCTCGCCGTACCTGCGCGAACGCCGCGTCCCTCTCCGCGGTGAAGGCAACGACCCGATCATTGGCCTTGTTCAGCTCCTCCACCATCTTGAAGGCCGTCAGACACGCCATGGAGGATGCAGCTCGGGTTCAGCGCACCTGCTTCATGCCCTCGGACACCTCCTCATCCGCTCTGAGTACCCGCCAGGACGAGAACTTCCTCATCTTGTACACGAGCTGGAGCAACCCCGAGTCATCAACGGGAGCTGCGGGGGTCCGCCATGTACCTCGATCGAGCGGCTCAGCTTCTCTTTCATGTCGCTCCTCTCCTTGGACAGCTGTACAACAGACGACACGCCTCAGGCCTCAGACTGAGATCGCCGACCGCTCTCGTACCTGCCACTCATGCAGGCTATTCCTCTTCAGGTTCCTCGACTTGGTCCTCTCCTGCAAACACCTTCACTCTGAGCACCAGCGCTCGCTCGCTCACCATGTAGCTGGCAAGGGACTCAAGGAAGTCGTCGTGCTTGTTCTGGAGGGTGATGTAGAGCACGGAAAGCTCCTCGAACTTCGCCTCCAGCTCATTGTTGGCATGCAAGTGGTCAAGGGCATCATTGCGTGCGCAGGTTATCTTGTGGTTAGCGACTGAGAGCTGAGTCTTGAGAAGCTCGATCTCCTTCTTCATGTCATCATCTCGCTTCCGTAAATCCTCTGCCTCCTTCTTCAGCACGGCTTTCTCCGCCGTCTCTCGCTTCCACTGATCCTGGTAGTACTCCATCTCCATCCGGCTCTCAGAGAGCCGCTCCTCCAGCTCTGCGATGTTGCTTCGCAGCGCCTTGTTGGCCTCATCCTTGATCGCGATCACCTCGTTCATCGCTCTCAGCTGTCTGCTCGTCTGAACATCTTCCTCTGCCTTCTGTTTCAGAGCAAAGTCCAGCAAACCATGCAGTTGCTGCAGCTTGACGTCAGGCGTCTGGATGCGAGCAGGCTGAGACATGGGACGATCGTACTCCTGCGGCATGCTCTCGTCCAGCCCTGCATCGAGGAGTCAGTCAAGACCCTTGATAGTTCTATCACCAACAAGCCTTTCTGCCTGCCTGCCTGCCTGCCTGCCTGCCTGCCTGCCTGCCTGCCTGCCTGCCTGCCTGCCTGCCTGCCTGCCTGCCTGCCTGCCTGCCTGCCTGCCTGCCTGCCTGCCTGCCTGCCTGCCTGCCTGCCTCCTCGCCTCCCTCCCCTCTCGCTGCTATGCTGCTTCCCTCGTCTCGCTCGCTCGCCCGACATTCCTCATTTAGATCAGAGCCCGCCTCAATAATTTTGAAAGGGGAGGACGAAGTCAGCAATCATCTATCTATCGGTGCTGGCACCGGAGTAATTGATCATGGGAAGGCAGCAAGGCCCTGAGGTGGGGACCGTCCGAGGCTCTACGAGCTGCTCTAAGAGGACTACCAGCATGCTGATCGGACTATGACTTGTACTTGTAGCAGTTGAAAGATTCACTGAAGTTTCAAGTCATGTATCGAATATGTATGCACGGTGGTAAGAAAGCTCGAAGTTCATGCCGTCGTGTACTTCGTAGTCTGACAACGTGATCTTGTCGTTGTACACTTGCTTGCATTTCTGAAGAATCTGCAGCACAAGAGTTCAGCATTGTGTGATGACACGACAACGAAGCAGACCAGCGACCGCGGGTCTCTCCCGATTTTCTCTCCGATCAAGACTTTCAGGTCTTGGATCGTGTCTGTCGGTTTAGCGTACACGCTCGTCTTCCGGCCAAACCGATCGTCCGCATGCACTTTGATCTTACCGGCCAGCCGATTGTCGTCGAGAAACTGTTCAGCAGTCAGACGGGAGCAGGAGAATGAGAGTCTCGTGCCTCTGCGTAATGCCAGGGCTTCTTGCTCGGCAGGACGACGGAGGGCTCACGGGAGAAACGCATCTTCGTATACATACTACCATCGCGGCCTTGCTTCGTTTGCCTCCCATGGGAGAACCCCGTCTTGTTCTTGGGCGTACTCTTCTTCAGGCTCGAGTCGAACCCGTACCTCTCCATCTCCTTGCTCGAGTAACTGACAGACTCACCCCACACTCCAGCAAGGAAGTCGCATGCTACCTGTCCTCTTTCTCCGACTCCCCGTCTGACACGGGCAATCGCTCGAAGCCTCTCTCCCTCGCCCCTCCAGACTCTTCTCCCCTCCGAGACTGGGGCAGCAGCTCGTTTGCGAACGGCATGAGCAAGGACCTGCATGCTGACGTCACCCCCCGTCTCTGAGTTGCTCTCAGCCCTTACACAAGGTCCGACTTATCGAGGGCGTTGGCGATGCTGACGTTGCGCAGCCGCAGTTGCGCCTTCAGCCACGGGACGCCTTGAGACTGGGAGGTCAACGATCAGCATCGGGCCCTCTCCGAGGCAAGCAGCAGTAACGACCAGCAGCCATCCTTCAGCTTCCAGGGCAGAAGTGTTCTCCCCCTGCCTCCTTCCCTGCAGGATCGACTCCGCCAGGTTCGCAGCCCGAGCGCTGTACTGCATCCTGCAAGCTTGCAGCGTCACGAGTGGGGAAGGGGGAGGGCTCTTGCCGCCTACTTTGCATGGAAGCTCTGCTCCGGCTCGCGGCACCATGCATCCGCCTCAGACTTCATCGCGTCGAGCTGCACAGCCTCCTCAGCCTCCCCTCAATGAGCCTCCTCCGACTCACCATGGACCTGTCCCTGGCTCGCTCCCCCTCCTGCTCCAGCTCTTGACGACCTTCAGCTCAGAAGGAGCAGCGGGCAAAAGAGTTGCGCGTTCACCTCGGGTGATGTTCTTCTTCCTGCACCAAGGCGGTCAGCGGCCGGAGGGAGCAGGGGAGGGCGGCAGGTACCACAAGGGGTCCCTCATAAATTTCTCGAGGTCCTCCCTTGTCTCTATCCCAGCGTATCTCAGCAGCAGAGGATCGACCGAGTGCAGGAAGGACCGCGTCCTGTTCCGCGCCTGCTACACCCGTTGAGCTTGTGCGGAGCAGGGCAAAAAAGGAACGACCTGCTCCAGCGCCCCTCGGTATGCCTCCTTCAGCCCCCCTCCATCGCAGGCGGAGCTATTGCGCAGCGCTGGATGGGAGCCCGAGCTCGCAGCCACTCGATCGATCGAGTCTCGGAGGAACACAGCAGAGTGTCCCTGCTCTCCTCTGTTGACCCCTGCCCTCGGCGCCTTGCTGTCCCGACGTCCCTCGTCGCTGGCCCGCATTCGCTTCCTCGCACCGGGTGCCTCATGCCTGCCATGGTCCCCTCCGCGCGGCAGGGAGGCCTCGCATTGAGCCTGCAGCAAGAGGAGGAGGAATAGAGCGGAGCCTCTTGCACACATGGCGGATCCTCGTCATCTCACACTCCACATGCTCAACCTTGCATCAGCTGCAAGAAGTCATCCGACCTGTCACCTGACGCTCTCTCCCTCGTCTCCTCGTCTCCTCTCCTCGTCTCCTCGTCTCCTCTCCTCGTCTCCTCTCCTCGTCTCCTCGTCTCCTCTCCTCCTCTCTCCTCTCCTCGTCTCCTCGTCTCCTCGTCTCCTCGTCTCCTCTTTTCTCGCTCCTCCCCTCCCTCTACCCGCACACAGCACTGGACCTCCCTTCTGCTGACCCGCCGCTTCTTGTCATCCTATTTATTCGCACTAATTGAAACCTTCTGCCTTTCCTGGTACACCCAAACAAACATGGCGCCGGGGGCCGGTGCCCAGCTCCTATCGCTCTGAACCGCCCAGCCCCTTCCTGCTCGCCTCTCTTCTCGTTCCTGCTCTCCCGCTCTCCTGCTCTCCTGCTCTCCTCCCCTCGTCCCCCTCGTCCCCTCGTCCTTTCCCTTTCTGCTCCTGTACTGTGTGGACGGTTCTTCATCCTAGAGGGAAAGACGTAGAGTTGTCTTAGAGAGGAGGGCGGGGAGGGGGGGGAGGGGAAAGGGGAGGAGGTAGTATAGGGAGAGTACAACAGCGTTGTTTCAAGGCTGAAATGCTCCTCCCGTCTGACTGCTATCCAGGTCGGAAGTCTCCTCAGCTCGTCCGATGAGAGCAGCAGCAGCAGCAGCAGCACCGAACTCCTCCATCGTCTCCTCAGCGCTCTTCTAAACCCGCTGCTACCTGCGCGCCCCACGGCTCGCGGATGCAAGGATACCATACAGCAGCGCGCACGAGACTGTTCCCCTCGAGCGTGAGGACGTTTGTGATCCTGACGGTGATACGACGGGGGTTTTGCTTCCTGCTGCCAGCGAGCGCCGCCCCGGGCGCTGCGTCGTCCATCAGCCCGATGATGTCGAGCGCGATGGAAGGGAGAGGAAGGGTCGTCGTGCAGACGCTGACTGAGGAGGGGAGGATGGACATCGCCATCCCTCTCAGTGGAAAGTTGAGGCAGCTGAACAGGCTGAGCAACGAGCCGCTGCAGAAAGTTTTTGGGAGGATCAAGCAGGCAGCCAGCCGGTCCACCAGCACTGTGGGGAAGAGAGGGTTCAAGGCAGGGGGAGGGGAGCAGGTTGCCCAGCAGAAGGAGGTCTTGTGTGAGCTCTTCGACCCCCGCGGGGAGAAGATTTACGAGGATACGCTGAACATCGACGCGTGGAAGAGCGGAAACGTCTTGAAGGTCGGGGAGGAGGAGTTCCTGGTCGACGTGGACCCTCCCTCAGTCCAGAAGCTCAGCCTCCTCTCCCGGCCCATGTCCGGCATCCCCTTGCTCCCTCTGGTGGAGTTGAGACATTCCAGCCTGTCAGCCTGCACGTGGCGCTGGTTCAGGAGCAGGCAGGTAGAAGACTCTGTTGCAGGGGATGGAGAAAAGGAGGAGGGCGAGAATGGCTGGGAGCCGATAGCAGACGCCGACTGCAGGGTGTACACGCCGCGAACGGAGGACGTTGGTTGGAAGTTGAGAGTGCGGTGCTTGCCTCGCAAGGTTGGAGAGGGAGGAGGAGGAGACGGGGGGGCGAGCGCGTACCGTGAGGGGGAGCATAAAGATGCGGAGACGACAAGGGCGGTGGCGGAGCTGCCGAAGAGTCTGGCAGGAGACGGGAGGCAGGAGAGTACGAGGGACAGGACGTGCTCTCCCTCCTTCCGCGTCGTCTCCTACAACCTCCTCGCTAGCTCATACGCCGACTCGCCATTTGCCCGGGAGAAACTTTTCCCCTACGTGCCTGCGGCGGCCATGGATGCAGACTACCGCAAGCAGCTGCAGTTGCTGGAGCTATTCGGGTACAACGCAGATATCCTCTGCCTGCAGGAGGTCGACCAGTCGGCGTTCCAAGAGTTCTTCGAGGAGCAGCTGGACAACGCCGGGTACTCTTGCCACTTTCTGAACAAGGCGGGCAGCGTGAAGGAAGGGGAGGCTGTGTGCTTCAGGAGGGAGAGGTTCGAGGTGCTCGAGAAGAAGGAAGTTGTAGTGAAGGAGTGCTTCAAGTCCTGCTTCGAGGACGGGAGCAGGCACAGGCAGTACTGCGAGATGATGTCGGACCCCTCCAACGCCGAGCTGTACCGGGTCCTCTCCGAGAAGCTCTCGACTGTGGCGCAGGTAGTGGCGCTGGGCCCTCGGGACGGGGCGGGGGAGGAGGGAGGGCTGATAATCGTTAACACTCACCTCTTCTTCCACCCCGAGGCCTCCCACATCCGCATGCTGCAAGTCTCCGCAATCCTAACGGAGGCGATGGACATGAAGGAGAGGATGGAGGAGAGGTCTCAACGGGCCTGCGCGGTCCTCTTCGTCGGGGACCTCAACAGCGAGCCTGACACAGGAGCGATCGAGCTGCTGGCGGGAGGAGCCGTGTCACCGCAGCACCCGGAGTGGGAGGCCCACGCGGGATTCCGATGGGGGGACAACGGGGAGGAGGAGGTGGGAGTGCATGCGGACTCGGGCCCGTCAGTGAGGAGGGAGGAGGGGCAGGCGCTCAAGGGGATGAGCCTGTCGCATCCCCTCGCTCTAGCGAGCAGCGACGGTCTTGGCTCGTCCTTCACCAACTATGTCCGAGGATACATCGGATGCCTCGACTACATCTTCTACGAAGCCTCTGCGTTGAGAGTCGAACAGGTCAGGAAAGATTGATGTGTCCTGCTGCTGCTGCTGCTGCTGCTGCTGCTGCTGCTGCTGATCCTGCTCGTTCTCCTGCCGCTCCTGCTGCTGCTCCTCCTGCGCCTGCGCCTGCACTTTCGCCTTCTCTCTTGCTCTCCCTCCACGTCTCCTCCTCCATCTGCTTACTCCGATGCTCTAGTTCGTTCAGCCACCTACTGAGGAGGAAGTGGACACAACGGCTCTGCCCTCCTTCAAGTTTCCCTCCGACCACATCTCCATCTGCTGTGATCTAACGTGGCGCAAATCTCCCCTCCCCTCCTCCCTCCCTTCCTCTGCCTCCCTCCCGTCCCCTTTCCCCACAGCGCAAGACCTTTCCGTCGAACGCTACCCCGCAAGCTTGTATGCTCGAACAAGACTCCCTCAACCGGCAAGCCCGTACCTGGTGAGGGAGAAGAGTAGCAGGAGAACGGGGAGTGGACGAGAGGGAATGAGAGGGTTGGAGACAGAGAGTTGAGGAGGAGGAGGAGGAGGAGGAGAAAAGCAGGAGCAGGAGCAGCAGGAGCAGGGGCAAGAGGATGAGGTGGTGGTGGTGGTGGTGGTGGTGGTGGTGGTGGAGGAGGAGGAGGAGGAGGATGTTCGTCGCCTGACGGACGTGGAAAGGTGTATAAGGCCGTTGCAAGTCTCCGCGAGGGCAAGCTTATTGGCCTTCCGATCGACAACGAGTACTACATCGCAGCTGCTTCTGGAAGTCCGGAAGGGGTGAGGGGAAGCCAGGAGAGGAGGGGACGAGAAAAGAAGGATTGGAGAAGAGGGAGGAGAGAGAGAAGAGAGAGGAGAAGAAGCAGAGGGAGCAGAGGAAAGCAAGTTCCTCAAGTGGGTGGAAGAAACAAGAGAAACAGGAGGCAGGAGGGGGCGAGCGACTTTATGAGAGCAGGGAAGGGTTGATGGAGATTTGAAATATTCATGGTAGGTGCAGCGACTGCGGGAGGCTCAGGGAGGAGGAGGCGACCTGTCTGTCTGCCTCGCCGACCCTTCCGAAGCCTCCGAGCACGCAGTCTGCAATCGCGTCCCGCTCGACCTCCTCCACCACCTCCTGTCCCTGCCTGCAACCAACGTGGTGCTTCCGAGGAAGAAGCTGGAGGAAGCGGGAGGTCAGACCATGGCAGAGGAAGGAGGGGAAGGAGGGGGCGATGCTGACTGGTAAATCAGATCCGAAGATCGTCCTGCGATGTCCGGGGCAGGATAAGGGTCAGATGTACGTCAGCGGCGCCTTCTCCTTCCCTCGCGCTGTGGCGCGGGAGCTCGGCATGCCCCTCGTCGTCGCTCCCGCATCCTCCAGCAAGAGGCAGTACCCCAGCTCTCCCTCCTCGTCCTCCTCCTGACCCGCTGTGCGCAGTTGCCTCTCGGTAAGGGAGTTCAGGGACAAGTGGGCAGCATGCGCGCAAGTGTTCGATGGAGGGGACGCGGAGGAAGCAACGAAGCTCTTGACCATCGACATGGCGGAAGAGGCGAAAGTGAAGATACGCCAGGAGGTGAAAGAGCTGAACTTCCTCCTTCCCCCCCTTCCTCCTCATGCTTGACTTTTACTGTACAAGGACCCTCGAGCTGCAGAGCTTCAGGAGCTCTTCTCCTCCTACGGCATCACCTTCGACCTCGTCTGAGCTCCGCGTGCCCCTCCCTCTTTACGAAGCTGGCGATCTGCTCGTCGAACTCTGGAAGGATCTTGTGTCCTCCGCTCGCTGCCATCTTGACCGTCAAGTTGGGCAACAAGCTCTTGAGCCTGCATCCGCCTCAGTTCCTTTTTCTCCCCAGCTCTTCGGCATCCTTACACGCTGACGCGGTGAGGACGGAACACCTGGTCGTCCTCGGCATAGAGCAGGAGAGCCTGTTTGACCGTCAGCAAACTCACCCGCCAGTCCAACGCTCCAAAGCTCACCGGGATCTTGGGGCGCTCGTGGGATCGCCAGGTGGAGGGCTAAGCAGGAGCAGGAGCAGGAGCAGGAGCAGGAGCAGGAGCAGGAGCAGGAGCAGAGAGTGGGAAAGTCAGAGGCTGCAGGTATCAGGGGAAAAGGCTCCAACCTCGTCTCCCCCCATTGGCGCAACTAGCACGATCTTATGGACTTTATTCTCGTGCTTTGCCACGTATCGCCTGCTGGGACGTCAGGGAATTCACCTCAAGTATGATGAAACAGTACAGAGCTTGTCCTCCCCCCCAGCTCTTGCCCATGATGGTGAATGAGCTGTTCGTACTCTGCGTATCCGAAAGACTCGTCAGATCCGGCAACGAAGGGGAGGGAGAGGGCAGATGGTGGGGGAGGGAGGGAGAGTGAAATGGGAGGCTACAGGGCGGGAGCAGGAGGTAGGAAGGGATCGAGCGAGTGACGGAGGATTGACTGTGGCGATCGGTGGAGCTTGTCACCTTGTCCTCAACGATGCGATCCACAACCTTCTGAATGCTCTTAGTTGCACTGGAAGAGCTCTTTCGGGGCTGGACGTCAGCAATCTCCTTCCACGGGTCAGGTCCAACGTACTGGCCTCGTCGCCGAGTTGGTGTGAAAGTTCGGGAGTACGACCAAGAAGCCTCGGGAGCCCAGGAGCGCAGCCGTCCTCTCCCACTCGCGCACCACCTGCCAGGGCCTGTCAAACCCAGCAAGAGCAGCATCGAGCCCCCACCTGGGTGCTTGAAGAAGCTCCATGGATCATGACGATGAGGGGAGACTGAGGCCTCCCGTACTCCTTGTACTCGACTCTGCCCACTGAGGAGCGTGCGGGATCAGCGATCAGGTCTACTCTTACCGTGCGCCCCTTCACTCACCGTCAGAGATCTCCACAGCCTTGCTGGCAGTGTTTGTCTCTTCTCTCGCAGCTGAGCTTTCCTGACCTCTCGCACCCCGAGCCTCCCTCGCCACGTCATCCTTCGTCTCCCGCTCATGAGATGCGAGTGTGCTCCGAGCGTCTTTGTCGAGCACCTGGAGGTCATCAGCTGTACGGACGAGCTAGGACAAGGCTCTACCCCTGTATCAGCTCCCTTCACCACGTCACTCCTCACCTGCAGAGGATCAGCATGAAAGCGTCCGGCAGTGGGTACAGCCAACGATCCTCCTTCTCACCTGTGCCTGGTACAGAACTATTGCACCGCACAAACAGACGGCAAACAATCCAAAGTATCCCCTGCAAGGTTCTGTCAATGGGTTTCCAGGCTCTCAGGTCGTCCATCTTCATTTCTATCGCTGGGTTGTTCTCCTGGACTGTACATCACGTCTTCCCTCTTCCTTCCTCACTCTGCCATATGATCTACATTGCTCCCACCCACGTACATGCATTTCTATTGATCTTCCTCCCTTGCTAGGAAGTTTGTATCGCGGTCACCACGGCCAGGGCGAGTCCAGCTCAAAGTTGTCATCGAGTCGATGCCAGTCGTTCTCAGTCTCAGTCCATCCTAACCCCGATGTCCTCCTCCTCCTCCTCCTCCTCCTCCTCCTCCTCCTCCTCCTCCTCCTCCTCCTCCTCCTCCTCCCTCTCATACCTTGAGCATGTTTCTTGCCGTCTTCCTCGTTTTCCCATGTCCATTCTTTTGCGCCTCCCCCACCCCCTTTGCTCATTCACCCCCTCTTATCCCTCAATTACTACCCCTACTACATGGATGAGGGCACCACCCTACCATAGTGAATTTGATTGCTTTGTAAGGTAAAGGGAAGGTAGGGTACCCAGACATACCATGACAGGGGTCTTCACGGGGTACAATTCGGTTGGATGGAGTGTGGTAGATGGGGTGGGTACTACAAGGGAAGACTAGGGGTAATGGCATGGTATTTGGGGGTGGATTGAGTGAGGGGTAGATGGACCAGGACGTCGATAGGGGGTGGGTGGGGCCAGAAAAGCGCGGGAGATGGCGACGAGAAGAGAGGCGCGGAACAGGGCGGAAGAAGAGGAGGAGGAGGAAGGAGGGAGGCGGAGTAGGAACAAAACAAGGAGAACATCGTAGATGAGAAGACAAGGAGACGAAGAACTGTTCTGTGGGAACGGGAGAGAGTGAGCAAGGGATTAGAAGGAGGATCGAATAGATTGCAGAGTGGAACTTTCCCTGCTTCATGTGGTTTCCCCCCGTGGCTGACTTCGCGCGTTCTGTCAGCAGGTAAATAGATATGGCGGCTCCCAGCACGGCGGTCCTCAACTCAAACCCGACCGTTGCTATCTCCGAGCATAGTAGCAACATGAACAACAACGTGAATGAGGCAGGGAATGTTCGAAAACCAAACTATCAGCTTCGCTATTTGCTTGAGGGCCATGAAAAGGCTGTAGCGTCCGTCAAATTTTCACCCTGCGGAAAGTATCTCGTCAGTGCATCCGCTGACAAGACGATTATGCTGTGGGATGCAGCCACAGGCGAACACATTCACAAATTTGTGGGCCATACCCACGGGATCTCTGACTGCGCCTGGTCTACAAGATCTGAGTACATATGTTCCGCTTCCGATGATCAGACGATTCGAATCTGGGATGTTGCTGAGAAGAAATGTCTGAAAGTTCTCACCGGTCACACTAGCTATGTCTTCAATTGCTCCTTCAACCCTCAGTCAAACCTGATCGTTAGCGGCTCGTTCGACGAGACTGTTCGAATATGGGATGTGAAGAGTGGGAAGTGCTTGCGGGTGCTGCCAGCGCACTCTGATCCTGTGACGGCTGTTCAGTTCAACAGGGATGGGACCTTAATTGTGTCCTGCAGTTTTGATGGGCTGTGCCGAATTTGGGATACCGCGACAGGTCAGTGTCTTAAGAGCTTGATAGACGACGACAATCCTCCTGTGTAAGACCTCTGACTCTTGTTCTTGCATACCCTGAACTCTTTGTTCTAGATCCTTTGTGACTTTCTCTCCGAACTCGAAATTTATTCTGGCCGGTTCGCTGGACAACAAACTTAGATTGTGGGACTTCACCAACGGCAAATGCTTGAAAACATACACAGGGCACACGAATCAGAAATTTTGCATCTTTGCGACCTTCGCAGTGCACGGGGAGGACAGATGGGTCGTGAGTGGCTCCGAGGACAAGGGAGTATACATATGGGACGTTCAATCAAAACAAGTTGTGCAGAAGTTGGAGGGGCACGGGGACACCGTCGTTGGGGTGTCGGCCCATCCAACGATGAACATGATCGCCTCATGCTCGTTGGCTGGCGATCCCAGGATTCGCATCTGGGTTGATGAATCCTCCAAGTGATATTTTTTTCCTCCTCGTAAATTGAAGTTTGTTTTGTGCCGCTGAACCGTTGAAGCTCTGACAAGCCTGATCTTGCTCTACTGCTTTATGGGCTTTATTTGATCGCTCTACAACGCAATCTTTGTTGATACCCTGGACGTGGTAAGCTCGCCCAGCAGAGGTTGCTCAAGATCCGATTTCCTCGGGGGATGCTCGATGGAGTACCTCAACCTCTCCACATCAGAGGGGCTGATATGGTTCTTCCTGAACACCTTGTACCACATGCGCGTCCTCCGCTCCCTGGTCGCTGAGTTGCACTTTTTGATCGACTTGAGCCACTGCTCAACAAGCCGTTGCTTGAAGATCTGCAAAAACCACGGCAATCAACCCCAACACAAGGGTAAAGAACGACCCCTCCGCATCACCTCGTGCGAGATTTCCTGGCCGTATTCCCAGGCTAGCTGCACTGGTGTGCGTCCTTGCTGGGAAGCATGTCATGAAAGCGCACGGAAGGAGTTGGAAAGGATGGACCTTGTCTTTCGCTGTCACTTTGAGCCCGCGCTTTAGAAGGTTGTGGATGGCGTTGCTGCTGCCGTTCACAGCTGCCCAGTGGAGGGCTGTGGCGCCATTCTTGTCGACGGCACTCACATTCGCTCCTCTCTCACAGAGAGCGTCAATAGCCGAGGAACGGTCGTTGACGGCAGCCCAAAAGATCGGGGTCCACCCATCGCTATCGGTCAACTCAGTTCCAAAGCGTTTGTCGTGTATTCGTTTGAGCTCGATCGCCTTGCCAGCAGCGGCTAAAGACATCATCAACTTGTAGTAGGCCTTTAGCTCCTTCTTCTGGAGATTGAATTTCAATCCTCCTCCACGAAGATGCATCACCCCGAGGGATGAGGATGGAGCGATGGAGGATTGTTGGATGCCAACGTGGCCGCGCGCAACACAGCACGATAGGACCACGGGCTGATCACAAACAAACTTCAGCGCGCAACCAACACGATCGAACTGACAAGCATGATCTGCGTCTGCCGCTGTCCTCGCACCGCATGAGAGCACGCTCCCAACTTTCTGCACCCCCCAAGTCGCGAACGCGACGACTAACCAGGGTAGCAGAGTTTTCATGTCCGCTCCAGCTTATCTGAGCATGGAGAAGCTCTTGCCAACAGTCTGCATGGCCTCTGCCGTCACTTCTGTCTGTCTCATCTTCTAGCTCTCCTCAGCTTCCTGCGCAGCCTTCTTCTGCATCTGCCGGCCGCTGGGGCACCTCCAATCCGACCATTGCTAGACCAGGGAACTTGAACCGCTCGTCGTTGAAAGTTTCAATAAAAATATACGAAAGTTCTGGATATCAAAGTTTCAAAGTTTGTAATTCGTTACGGAGAATTCCGCGCGAGGAGAGGCAGGCATGGCGGAAGGGGAGCCGGGGGGGAGGGAAGTAGCACGAGATATGGCGGGAGAGGGGGGGGGGGGATGGTCAGAAGATAGAAGGAGGTAGGAGTGAGAAGAGGCCCAGCAACGGGGATGTGCGAGGACGCAAGTGTCTCGCTGGAAGAGCCATTGGTCGCCTCATGATTGTTGGACGAGCTCATTTCTGGATCGGCACCGGGTCTATGGAGGAGTCTTACGATGTGCCTGCAGGTTTCAATGAGTTTTGCAGTCTGAAGGAAGCAGAAAACAGAAGATGAGCGGGTCAGACGGGCAGAACAACTTCGTCAAGAAGCTCAACGACCTCAATCCCTCCACCGTCTCAGTCCAGACGCTCTCGAAATGGTGAGGGCGACCCCTCAAGTGACGGGCCTGACCTGTCGATGCAAGGATGATCTTCAACTACAAACATGCTGCGAACTTGGTGCGGACATGGCAGAGGGAGATCCTGCAAGTGAAGCCGGAAAGGTGAGTCAGAGAGCCTCGAGGGCACTCATTCTCCGCTAACGGCATTCTAGGAAGCTGACCTTTCTGTACCTGGCGAATGACGTGCTGCAGCAAGTGAGGAACATGACTGACGTTCCTTCTCTGAAGTTTGCTCGTGTCCTGTCAGAGCCGCAAGAAACACCAGGAGTTCTTGAACGAATTCGGTTGGACCCAGGGCCTTGAGAGCGTTAGTCCTGACCATTTCCCTTCAACCAGCCAAAGTCCTTCCAGGGGTCCTTGCAGATGTTGCGAAGAGCTGTGATTCGAATCCAAAGGTGCGTTTCTTCCTCTCCCTCCCTCCCTCTCCCTCCCTCCCTCCCTCTCCCTCCCTCCCTCTCCCCTCCCTCTCCCTCCCTCCCTCTCCCTCCCTCCCTCTCCCTCCCTCCCTCCCTTTCTCCCTCCCTCTCCCTCCCTCCCGCTCCCCCCCTCCCTCTCCCTCCCTCCCTCTCCCTCCCTCCCTCCCTCTCCCTCCCTCTCCCTCCCTCCCTCTCCCTCCCTCCCTCTCCCTCCTTCTCTCTGCATGATTGTCTTTCCCGGATTGAAAGTTTCGACAGGTGAAGGAATCGTCCGCGCGGCTCATCATGATCTGGTGCACCTGTATCTCCAGTGGTCAAGTTAGGTTCTGACATGGAATCTTTTGGAAGGGAGGAGCGAGACGTGTACAGCAAAGACTTCTTGCTCAAGTGCTCGGCTGCACTGGTAACACCTACCCTTGTGCCAAGATCTCGACTGTTCGTGAGTGGATCCGCAGAAAGGAGAGTTGGCTGTATCCAGCAAAGACACTGGCAGCACGCCCGACATCAAAGGTGCCTCCTGACCTTCTCTTCCCCCCAAGGAGGCTGATGTGACTCGTGGCCATCGACGTCTGTAGAGAAGGCGGAGATCCTGGAGCCGGTCGCCAAGGTCTTAACTCCGAGGTCCTTGCTGGAGTTCTGACGGGGCCTCAGTTGAACGAGGTGCTCTTGCGGCATAAGAATCTGAGCATTCGGACGGACGACAGTCACTCGAAGATCGAGAACCTGTTGTCTCCCCCCTTCCTCCTCCCACCAGCGCCTGACCTGTGCCTGCAGACCGCCGGAGATCTTTCAAGTGAACCCTGAGGAGACGACGACTTCAGACGTCTCGTATAACATCGCTGTTTCTGCCAGCCAGGTGCCGTTTGCGAAGGAGAGACTCGCTCTCCCTGTCCCCCACCTCACGTTCTCCTGCTCATGAAGATCTTCATCACCAACGTCTCGTTGATTGTCAGATCTCCTTCCCCTGTGGTTTCTCCACAGAAGATATCGTTTTCAATATCCTATTCAATCTCTGTCTCCCCCGACCCTTCTCCTCCCGCTCCCCTCCTGACTTATCCGAAGGTCTTGGAAACTGGTGTGGCAAATAGAGAGGAGTTCAAGAAGTTAACGACTCAGAGCATCGAGATCCTTCGCGATCTCCTGAAGGATCAGGTGAGTCCACGAGGCGACCAGCTCCTCTGTGACGCTGCGGAAGATGGCGAAATTTCAGGAGAACGAAAAGTGGCTCACCGAGCATTCAGCGGTGAGCAGCAGGAGAAGGGAGAGGAGAGCGAGGGATGAGAGAGGTGGAGAGGAGGGAGGGGAGGAGACTCTGACCTCCCTCTAGGTTCTGGCGAGCCTGAAGCTGTACATGTCCAACATATCCAGCACAGCAGCGCCGGGCGGTGCAGGAGGAGGGGGAGGAGGCCGGCCTCCTCCTTTGGCTGACAGCGACGAGGACGAGCCGAGGTGCTGCCATTCTCCGCGTTCTGTTTCGCTCACCTGTCCACAGCCCGAAGAGGCCGAGAGGAGAAAACTGGGCAGGAGGAGAGGAGAGCGTGCAGGAGCAGCCGCCAACTGAGGTGCCCATGGCGGACACTGCAGGAGAGGACTATGAACCATAATAGCGGTTGGAGGAAGTGTGGAGGAGGAGGAGCGAGGAGGAGCGAGGAGGAGGAGGAGGAGGAGGAATTGGCTTATCACGACCCAACTTTAAAATTAAAGACACCCATGAGCTCAAGGTCAAGACCTTCCTCGTTAGTCTCCCAGCCCCGTCAGATTGCCCAGGATGTCCTTGACGGTCTCGAACAGCCCTCCTCCTCCGGAATCTCCTGCTCTTTCGGTTCAGTGCGGAACGAGGAGCAGGTACATCCCTCCTCACCTCCTTGATCCCCCTTCCACACCTCTGCGTCCTCCCCCCACACCTCCTCTCCTGCACGTCATTCAGTCACGCACAGAGCTCGGACCCTCCCAAGAACCTTCTGGAACTCCCTGGTTGCCTCCTCCTTCACCAACACCACCGCCGAAGAAGCCGCCGGCCCCATCACCACCTCCCGATGTCGCGCCGCCCTGACTCGCTTCTGCTTCCTGAAGTCACGCAAGAGGAGGAGGAGGCAGAGGAGGAGGAGGGGAGGGGGATGGGGTGAGGAGGAGGAGGAGGAGGAGGTGAAGGAGGAGGAGGAGGAGGAGCTGCTGCAGGAAGCCATGGACTTGCTTGAGATCGACCCGAGGAGGAGGAGGAAACGGAGGGAGGCAACGACCTGCTGCACTCCCAGCTGCACCTGCCGCTGCGCCACCAGCCGCTCCTCCAGCCGCTTCTGCACCGTCTGCTCCTCCTCCTCCTCCGATGGGGATGAAGAAGGGGAAAGGGACGCCTCCTCCGCTGTGCCGGCTGAAGTAGTCGAAGTCGATGGAGACGGCGCATGCTAGGACCGTTGCCTTCTCCTCCACCTTGTCGCTCCCGTCAGTCTCTCCCTTGACGGAAACAAAGCCCTACCGTGAGCGCCCTTCCTATCACCGGGCGGGCAAGCAGGTCTCCTGGGCTCTGGGCTACCATAGGAGGACTCCACTGGGTTGTTCTCGTGTTGTGATCGACGTAGTACGTGCGACCCTGATTGCTGTCAGAACCAGCAGCAGCAAACAATAACAGATTGCCGCTTCCTACTGATACTCCCCATCGCCCTCCTTCTCCTCCTCACTTTTGTCCTCCTCCCTCTTCCTTCTCCTTCCCTCTCCCCTTCTCTGCCTTCCCTTTGTCGTTTCCTCCATAGCGGGTAACCCAGCAGGAGGCTCACCTGAGGGTCTTGCTTCTCTTCCCATCCTGGAGGAAGCTGCGCTCGTTCTGATGTAGTGGACGGGTTCTTTGCTGTGGACTGGTACGTCATGCGAGCCCCTGCATGGCAGACCCATCAGCAACATCGCAGAGAGGAGGGGAGAAGAATGGTCTGCTAAGCAGAAAGAAGCAGAGGGTTTGTGCAATGAGGATGGGGTTGGGGGGGGGCGGGTGCTGCAGAAAGGAATAGGAGAAGAAGGAGGAGAAGGAGATTACCAAAGTCATACAGCGGGCTAGCAGGGTCTAGATGAACGATGTACGTATGAGCATCGGTGAAGAGCGTCTGAACGATCGTGCTCAGTCCTGCAAAGTTCTTGTCGACGGCAGCGAGCGCCCTCCCCTCCTCGTCCTGCAGTATGAGAGCCAGGGAAGTCAGCGAGCATGTCGGGGGAGGGAGTATCTGACCTCCAGGGTGAACTCCCAGGAGAGGAGGGGAGCGTCGATCATGGCGAACTGAGCCTGGTTGCTGTAAAGGTTGTACTTGCGTCGCCACAGGTGCCAGTTCATGTGGACCTCCCCGATCTCGTTGAACTGCGCATCCTGGACTCGCAAGGAGCTGGAGACCCAGTAGAAGGGCCTGTTGATCCTGATCAAGATGTTACCGTGCGGGTCCATGATGGTGGCGGTGAAGGGACGGTGAGTTCGAGCAAGCTGCCGCACGACTGTCTTCCCCAGCGATGACTCCTGCATCGCAATGGTATCAGACGCCTCCTGCTCCTCCTGCTGCTGCTCCTGCCAACCTCTGCCATGTATCCGACGATTTGGCCCAGCCTGTTGTAGAGGGTGTAATGATTGGCCTGTTCGAAGCCAACAAGGATCGTCCCGAGCTCAAGCCTCCGCTGCACGGCAAGGTAGGGCTCACTGAGCAGCGACTCCAAGCATGCTCGAATCTACACGCGCTGGTGAGACTCCTACCTCACAAGGGAAGAGACACGGGGAGGGTCAACCTGAGGTGGCGGAAGGTTGTTGAGAGGTACGATCTGCCCCGGAGCTGTCGCAGGAGGAGTATTGTACGCCTGCTGCTGCTGGTATGCATCGGGGGAAGGAGTCTGGTGGGGAAGAGGAGGGGCATTGCTGTTCTTCGGTGCCGACAAACGATCCCAGTTCACCCCAGACAACGCCCTGGAAGCGTTGTGTTGGAGGACCCGAGAAGGGAGCAGTACGGAAGAACGCTGAAGAGGACCTGCTCGAGAGCAAGCCTTCGCTGCTGTCTGCAACATCCGACAGGTCGCTGCCAACCGCATTGCTAGAACGAGAGGAACCGTGTGGCAAAGTGCAGTCTGATTTCTGTTTCTGCGCAGCAACCTCAAGCCTTGAACCTTCTATCGTCTCCTGTCCTCTCCTATCACCTCCTCTCCTGTCCCGTCGTCTCCTCTCCTCTCCTCTCCTCTCCTCTCCTCTCCTCTCCTCTCCTCTCCTCTCCTCTCTTCTCCTCCCCGCTTCCTGTCCTCGCTCCTCCAAGAGGGTTTGGTTTCGTCACCTTTCAATGAATTCTTTTGAGTTTCTTTTGGGTCATAGTGGGGATGTGGTCTAGGATTGAAGCGGGATGACGACGCAGGGGGCGCAGGAAGGGTCGGGCATGGCACAGGAGGGAGAGGGGCAGGGAGGGAGAAGGGAAGGAGGAGAGTGAGGACGAGGACGAGGAAGAGGACGAGGATGGGGAGGAGGAAGAGGAAGAGAAAGAGGACGAGGATGGGGAGGAGCAGGAAGAGAAGGACAAGTGCGAGGACAATAGCGAGAAGAGGATACATAGAGATTCCAACCATGATGCAGTAAGAGAGCTGTCTCGTCCTCATAGGTTTCGATCAACACAACATCTCCTTCCTCTCTGTGTGTCTAGCTGTGGCTCGCGACTGATGACGTTGCACTCTTTCTGCCAGATGATCGGATAAAGCCCGAGATTATCTCTTTTGCAATCTTGCCATGGTGAAGGAAGACCTGTCGGGAGGGATCACCCGAGTCAAGCAGCTGTTGAGGAGCGTCTCCAAGAGCTTTCCTGTCTTCAAGACCTCCAAGAAAGATGTCAAGAGGACAGACATGCCGAGCGACGTCCAGGGGATGCTGCTCAAGTACCAGAGGAACAAGGAGACCCTGCAGGTCCTGGCGGACAACCGGGTAGAGTTCAACAAGGCGGCAGACTCGATCACCAAGGTAGATGAAGCTGTTGTTGACTCGGTCAGGAAGCTAGGGGACAATGGCAGAGAACAGTTTGTGCAGTCGGCCGAAGATATCGTCGTGCTCTACAACGCCATCACAAGCATCCGCAGCAGGTCAAACGACAGCCTGCTGGACTTTCTGCTGGACGTCGGAAGGATGGATAGGAAGACCGTATCCCATCTGTCGTCAGAGATCTTGAAGCTCGAGAACGCCAGGGACGCCCTCGACAAGACGATCGCAAAGCAGGAGCAGTCCAAGGAGAGGGGGGGCTCCGCGGGGGAGAGTGCGGAGAAGTTTGAGAGGAGGCAGCAGAAGATCAAGGCGAGGAAGGCGGCGTACGAGGAGCAGATCAAGGCTCTCAGGAGTCAGTTGCCGACCGCGGAGCTGAAGCTGGAGTCGAACTTCCTGTCGTCGTTCCTCGCAGTTCTCAAGGAGCATCGGGAGATCTTTGCTGATGTCCTGCTTCTCCTCCAGAACCTCGACGGCGCCATTGAGAACTTGGAGAGGGTCTGCGAGGAGTCGGCCAGTGCGCTGAACGCAACCATGTCGGAGCAGGACAAGAGGATGGATTCGGAGGTACTGCAACGGTGCCGGCCCAAGATCATCGAGATTCTCTCGATGCCCGACTTCGCCGTCTCCAGCGCCCTCCTCGATGTCCACTTCACCACGAGCTCGGAGCCGGACCTGGTCGCTGTTGCGTGTCCCCTCCTCCGGATCCTGGACGATCTCGACCTCTGCGTGCCCTTCATCAAGTTCATGATCAGCAACGAGCTGCCCAAGGGCTCGTCGGAGACGACGCTGTTCCAAGTGCCCTCCGTCGCCGGCAGCCTGTGCGATGCCGCGTGCCAGATGGTGGCTGAGGAGTACCTGCACATGACTCTACACCCTCTGATCGAACAGATCTGCAGCGGGGAGGCGGACTTCGAGGTCGACATGCAGCACATTACGGCAGACGAATCGTATGAAGTCAACCTGGACAACCTAACCAAGGCGATCCAGTGGTTCTTCGATACGGTCATCATCTCCATCAGCGACGTCCCGCCACTGCTCCGGACGATCTCCACTCACATCTACAACATCCTCGGAGCGAGAAGAAGGTCTGAGGCGCAGAGGGCCGTCGGCTACTTCTTCCTGGGTAACTACATCTGCCCTGCCATCAGAGATCCCCTCCGCTTCTCCCTGACTACCCGGCACGTCGATGAGAGGTCGGCAAGGGCTCTCGCCGTCATAGGGTCGGCAATGCAGTTTGCTTTCTTCGGGGAGGGCGAGCTGAGCTTCCCTCCAACTGTGAAGGAGCTGTCGTTGCAGTACCACGATCGCCTCGTGGAGGTCGTCGACAACCTGGGAACAGTGAGCCCCTCTGCATCGGAGAGCAGCCTGGCAGAGGTCGAGATGGCTGTAGAGGAGGAGGAGGATATCCTCTCCCTCCGCTCCTTCATCGTTTCAAACCATCGGGCCATCGCGACCGCGCTGGCTCAGAAGGGCTTCTCACAGCATCTGTCTGACCTTGCTCTGTGCGTTGACGGGGTCGCCCTGACGGAGGTGGAGCATGAGAAACGCCTGAAGCCAGGGAGCAACCAGCCTGAGGAGGAGGAGGAGGAGGAGGAGCCCAGTTCTTCCCTGTGGGAGGCTCCAACTGAGCAAGCCGAAACTCCGCAAGTCGTCAAGGCAGTCCGCACCGACTACTTCGTTGACGACGCTGACTGCATGCCCGAGAGTGCGCCGGTGAGAATCGATGCAGCTCCAGAGTCTTCCTCCGTCATCTTCGAGCTCAAGAGGGTCGATGAGAACCCGCGGACTCCCCTCCAGCCAACTCCCAGTAATGGAGCAGAGCCGGCTGAGCCCCAGCCGCTCATCAGGCCTCGCAGGAGGTACACGAAGACCAAAGTGATCCCGTCGTCCCCTGCCCCTGAACAAGCAGAGGACCAAGAGCAGCAGCAGCAGCAGCAGCAGCAGCTGGAGCCGGAAGGGCCTCCGGTGGACTTCAAGGTCCCCACGGTGAAGATTAGCAGGAGCGACATCCGCATGGGAATGTCTCAGAGGATGAAGGAGAAGGTTGCAGGAGACGAGGGGCCGGCAGAGGAGGAGACGGGGGTGTCGGCCCCCCCGAAGAAGTCTGCGGCATCCTACGGGCGACTGTTCGGCATCGGCGCCGTCTTCAAGAGGAGCAACGACGGTCACTTCTACGTCAAGAAGGTGATCGCCGGGGGGCCTGCACACAAGGCTGGGATCACGGTGGGGTCGAGGGTCCTGTCGATCGATGGGGAGAAGCTCTATCACAAGCCTGCCGCCTTCCTGTACAACCTTATCCTAGGGAGCGAGGGCTCCTCCCTCACCCTCCAGGTCCAGTCCGTCGGGGCTGACGTGGACGCCGCGACCCAGAGAGTGACGGTGAGGCGGGCCTTCATCGACGAGAGCTACGCGGCCGAGAGGGACTCGGCGGAGGCCGAGCAGGCCGCGGCCTCCCCCACCCATGTCGAGGTGCCCCGGGGGCTGGACCGATCGTTCGACGACACCAGGGAGGAGGTGAAGGTGTTTCAGTCGCCGGGGCGCAAGGTCGACCAGGGCCCGAGGAGCAGTGGGACCAACCAAGTGGGGATCGGAGCGACGTTCAAGATGGATACCGACGGCTACTTCGTGATCAAGAAGTTGGCGGAGCATGGAGCGGCCCAAGTCTGCAACAAGATCTCTGTGGGCGACAAAGTCCTCGAGATCGACGGGCACAGCATGTTTCGAGCGACGGCCCTTGACCTGTCCCGTGCGATCCTCGGGCAGGAAGGGACCTGGTTGACCATCATTCTCCGGTCCAGCGACGGATCGTCCAAGTCAGTCGCGCTCAAGAGGTCGAGAGGGGAGGAGGATCGGGAGGGCGATCTGAGGCCGAGCATGACGACCGCCTCTCCCACAGCTGGGAAACTAGAGAAGTTGAGGATGGAGGAGACGGGAGACAGCGTCGGAGTCGGGGCCTCGTTTGCCAGAAACCAGTCTGGGGAGCTCGTAGTGCTTGAGAAGTTCCTACAGGATGTGCCCATGGCCGCTGGTGACCGTGTCCTGGAAGTTGACGGTAATCCCTCCTGATCCAGTGTTCGCCTCCTCCTCCTCTCGCGTCCGCCTCCCTCCCTACCCTCAACCTTGAGTCTCCTCTGCTCGGATCCTCGTCTCTCTCTCACTGTTCTCTACTTCCTCCGCAGCAGCTCTGACATCCCGCCCACCTCCCAACGCTGACTCTCCTGCGCAGGCGTGAAGGTCTCCGGCAAGTCCTCGGCAGCTCTTGAAGCTCTCATCAGCGGCCCAGAAGGATCGACCATCGAGCTGGTTGTGCTCCCTGCTGTTGATGACCGGGAGTCTGGGCGACTGCCGTCGGTCAAGAGCATCCGGCTGACGCGCAAGAAGGTTCCCAAGTCGCTCATGCGCGATCACGAGGAGGGGAGCCTGGAGGGGCAGACGTGCGAGCTGTTCTCGGCAGGAGTAGGGATCTGGTTTCAGCGAGAGGAGGGGTCGGGGGCGCTGAGGATACGCAGAGTCCTCCCTCACGTGCAGACCAGCTGCGAGGACCAGATCAACATCGGGGACCTGATTCTCTCAGTCGATGGCGTCAACCTGCGCAACAGGTCGAGCCGGGAGGTGGTGGAGATGCTCAACGGGAGCAGAGGAACGAGCTGCAAACTGAAGCTCCAGAAAGCTGAGCCCAACGGGAAGGTAAAAGGGGCAGGGAGACAAGGAGGAGAAGCTGAGGAGGCTTCTGCAGGTCATCGAAGCGAAAGTAGTACGAAGTCAAGAAGGTTTTCTTAAGCTAGAGGAGGTGATGGGCCGGACCGCGGGCATTGGCATCCTGTTCAAACACGATCGAGGTAGGATAGGTGTCGTGCACTCCACGAGAGGATAGGTTGAGGTTGAGGAGTGAAGGGAAGGTGAAAAGGAGAAAGAGGAGGAGACTGACGAAATTTGTTTCAACATCAGACGGATACTTTTTCATCAAGCGGATCCTAGAAAACAGCCCAGCACAGAGGACGGGAGGGCTGGAGGTTGGAGATACCGTGCGAGAGATCGACGGGGTCTCCTTGTTCCGCAAGTCATACAAGGACCTTGAACAAGTGCGGCAATACTGGGGGAGGAGGAGGAGGAGGAGGAGGAGGAGGAGGAGGAGGAGGAGCTGACTGGTGGGTCGCAGCTGTTGAATGGCGTTGAAGACTCATCCATCAGGCTGGGCATCTGGGATCACGATAGCAGGCGTTTGCGACATGTGAGGGTGAGCATTCCTGGCAACTTGTGTATGACGTAACCGCAGGTTGACTTGCCAAGAAACTGGACAGAGGACAGGCTGGGGTCAGAGAGTGAGGAGACGGAAGAGTTCGGGTCTGCGGATCAGGGAGACGTATAGCTTTTGGGAGAAGCTTGAAGATGTACAGTAAATGTTGACTACGTCGCCCTTGGGAGCAATCCGGTCATCGACAAAATTTGTCAACACTGCGCGTGCTACGACGACTTCACATTCTCAGCAAGTGGCAAAAAAATTCCTTTGAGCTCTGTGTAAGCCTTCTCGATGTCATCATTCACAATCTGCGAAACGACATCAGTCCGTCTGGTCACCCAAACAACACATGGATCACCTGGTGGTCAAACAAGCCTGGCTCGTCCTTTGCTTCCAGCTCCGACTTAGCATTCGCCAGTCTCTTAAGGATCTTGTCTTCTGTTTCCGTTCCTCTTCCTCTCAGTCTCCTTTCTAGCTCCTCCACACTTGGTGGGACCACGAAAACGAAGGAAGCGAGGAGCCCAGCCTTCCTGCAAGACCTGCACCCCTGCACATCGATGTCCAGTATGCACACCTTCCCGGCCTTGGCCACGTCCTCGACTGCGCTCTTGCTCGTGCCGTACAGGTTCCCGTGCACGTTGGCATGCTCCAGGAACTTGCCCTGAGCTATCTCTTCCTCCATCTGTTCGTGTTCCACGAAGTGATAGTGGACTCCGTTGACCTCACCAGGACGAGGCTGCCTGGTGGTGTGGCTGACGCTGAAGCTGATGAGGGAGCTGAACTCGCTCTTGAGCTTGTCTATCAGCGTTCCTTTCCCCACCCCCGACGGTCCACAGACAACCAGGGCTCGCCGTCCTGCCATGCCGGAGAAGCGACAGGTGAAGGAGAATACTCTCCAGCAACAGGTGGTGACTACCCCTTTTCTGAAGTAAAAATGAGTGGTGGTATGGGGTCATTTGGCACACCCTACCCCCACCTATATCGGAAGGCACGTGGAACATTGTAGGTAAGAACAAAACATTAGACTAAACTCACAGTCAGAACTAAACTCTAAAATAAGTCCCCGCTCTGTTTGTACCAGGGGCTTAATTTAAATTATGTCAATTCTTTTTTCAGGGGGATGTTATACCCGGTTTAAAATACTTCGGTTTAAAATTCACGGGAACGAACCATTAGCGGAAGCAAGCAAGCACAAGCAAATGTAGGAGACAAGAAGAGAAG